ACCCCACCCAATCCACCATCTCGGTCTCTATGAAAGTTTCCCTTTGCCCAAAGGAAAGCCACTGGGCCCGTCTACAGCCTGTACCTTGCCTCCATTTCAGATCCTCCAGAAAATCTGAAAGTGATGGTTTCCCAAGCAAATAGGACAGGTAAGAAAGGAAACACAGGAACCAGGGCCTCTTAGTGCCAAACTGGGTGCCCAGGTGTCTGGAGTGTCGGCATGCAGGAGGGTCCCTGTGCCCTCAGCCACACATCAATTTTGCCTCTTCCCTTCCCTAGTCCTGGCAAACCTCAGTAATGGCACATCCCTCCCAGTCCTGGAGGGCCAGAACCTACGCCTGGTCTGTGTCACCCGCAGCAATCCCCCAGCCAGGCTGAGCTGGGCCCAGGAAAGACAGACCCTGAGCCCCACCCAGCCCTCAGACCCTGGGGTCCTGGAGCTGCCTCGGATACAAATGGAGCATGAAGGAGAATTCACCTGCCAGGCCCAGAACCCGCTGGGCTCCCAACACGTCTCTCTCAGCCTCTCTGTGCACTGTGAGTGGGGACCCTGAGGGCAGGACAGCTGGGTCCTGGGAATGGGGGCACCTGCTGACCGTTCTTTCTCCCCAAAGACCCCCCACAGCTGCTGGGCCCCTCCTGCTCCTGGGAGGCTGAGGGTCTACACTGCGGCTGCTCCTCCCGAGCCCAGCCACCCCCCTCCGTGCGCTGGCAGCTTGGGGAGGGGCTGCTGGAGGGGAACAGCAGCAACGCCTCCTTCATGGTCACCTCCAGCTCAGCTGGGCCCTGGGCCAACAGCTCCCTGAGCCTCCACAGGGGGCTCAGCTCTGGCCTCAGGCTCAGCTGCGAGGCCTGGAATGTCCACGGGGCCCAGAGCATCATAGTCCTGCTGCTGCCAGGTTGGGGCTTGTGGGAGGTTGAGGCTTAGGGAGAAAGGAGACTCAATCCTAGAAAAGGTGGAGGCTGGAGGTTGGGGGTAGTGGGGTTGGGTCCTGGACAGGAAGGGGTGGGGGCAGAGTCCTTGTTATTCTGCTGGTGGGGGGACGAAGAATATGAGAGCTTGAGTTCTGTGGGAGGAGAAGGCCTGAGGGTCCTGGGGCTTTGAGGGCCATCATCACTAAACTCCGCTCATCTGCAGGGAAGCCAGAGCCTGGGAAAGGATTAGGTCTGGGGGCTGTTGGGGGAGTTGGCGTCGCTGCTCTGTTCTCTCTCTGTTTCTGCCTCACCTTCTTCAGGTGAGTGTTGTCACTGGGAGGAAGGGCATGTGTAGGCGGTAAGAAGGGGTACAGGTTCTAGGATCTCAGACAGTCCCGGTGGAGGAGTCTGGAGAGTGTAGTGGTCATGAGAATTGGTCTTGGACCAGAGTATTATAGCAGGGCTCTGTCCCCAAACCCTGATCCCAGCCAGCCTTGAAGGGACACTTGTTCTCATAAGGAAATCATCTGGTTGGATGTCTCCCCACCTCCCCAGTCTCAGCCAGCCTTCTAGCTTCTTTTAGGCATGGAGGACAGCAGGCTCACCGCAGGCTCTGAGCCAGCCCGGAGGCTGAGAAGTCCTGGCCTCCTCCGTCAGGATGAAGACTTGCAGGAAGGAAGCCGCCAGGACAGCAGCTGCTGAGAAAGAGGCCCCCTGTGCCCTGAGTCCCATCCCCTGGGTGACTGAGGAGCCCTCTGCTCACTGAGACCCTGGCTGGTGGCCGTGGCCACATTCCTCTGGTTGACACAGAAAATCATCATGCCCCAAATAGGCTTTTGCTCCCAGGTCCCCATCGACACAGTCCCCCAGTCCAGCGACCTGGGAACCTCCTCCCTGCTGCTCTCTATCTACGGTCCCGCAGCTAAGGACCACCCACTCCCATCTCCTCATTTCTCTCTGGACCCCTCACTGCATTTTCCCTCCTTCTCATCTCTCCTGTACACCACATGATGCCAGGCAGACCTCCCCCAGATAATTAGTGTCTACTACAAAGTTCAGGGTCCATAAAACACCCTCACTACTGAAACCTACACCAATTTTGGGACTCCTCAAAGCCACTCTCAGATTGAATAAGTCTCTAGCAAGACTCACAGAACTCACTGAAAGCTGTTATACTCATGGTTATAGTTTATTATGGTAACTAGCTACAGATTGAAATCATCCAAAGGGAAGAGGTGTATGGCCAGAGTCCAGGAGAGACCAGACATGAGCTTCTGGTCGTCTTTCTCCAGTGGAGTCACAGGGACAGCCCTTAATTCTCCCAGCATTGATAGGTGGCAACACACATGGAGTATTGCCAACCACAGATGCTTACTTGACCCTTAGTGTCCAGGGTTTTTATTGAGGGAGTCAGTCACATAGGCCTGGATCACCTGTGTGGCTAACCTTAGTTACTCAGTCTCCAGATCCTCCAGAGGTCGCACCAATGTCATGTGGCCCAAGGCCCCCATCATAAGTCATACTGTTAGCCTAGACTACCAGGCATGGCCTGTGGTTCCCAAGTGAACAAAGGTACATCTGTCAGGCAGAACATTCCACGGACTTAAGTTAGAGATTCTAACCCAGGAGCTGGGTGCAAAATGTCAAAGCTTTCTTTGGGCAAGGTGAACCCTTTACTGCACAGTACGCTTTGTTTCTTGGGCTCATATCACAAGTTCACAATTGTGTTTGAATGCCTGAAACTCTGAAATGCTGAGTGGTCCCTGAGGGCAGTCCATGTCTGAGCAAATCTCTGCCCTTTTCATACCATCCCAGTCCTGTGCATTCTGTCACAATTTACACTGAGCAAATCTCTGCCCTTTTCATACCATCCCAGTCCTGTGCATTCTGTCACAATTTACAATTAGAAAGTATCTTAATTAACTATAACATTAATGTCAGCTTCTCCCTCCACACTGCAAGCTGTGTGAGGTCATGGATGGTGTCTGCGTAGTTCCCCACTGATTATCTTGGGGCCAGCACAGGGGAGATGTTCCATAAGCCGGAGGGCACTGGAGTCCCCTGAAGACACCTGGACATGAATCTTGGCCTGACCATTAACTAAATATGTGGTTTTGGGATATTTACATAGCCTGTTTCTCCATCTGATAAATGGGGACAATAGTGTCTCCTCAGTGGTTGTTGGGAGGATTTCATCAAACTGGCAATCAGT